ATTCTCTCTCTCTCTCTCTCTCTGTCTCTTTCTCTCTAACTCTCATATTATGTTCTTCCCTCTTTTTTTTAAATCATTTCAGTGCTGAAATATGAGGAATTAACTAGGTTTTTTGGGATCGGTATGTTCGGTCCAAAGGACGATCCATCCGAAGAACACATGTAGGTTTTAGGTTTCTAAACCGTTTGTCTGAATTTCCAGAAGAAAGTTAAGGAAAACAGCGAAGAAGATTTAAGGAAGTTTTGTGTTCTTTATGGCTGGTAGTAACGAAATCAACGCAAATGAAGCCAATGTATTTTTATTTTCTGATCTGTTTTGTTTGCCCCTCGTTCTTTTCTTTATTATTCTCCTCCCAAAATAGTTAATTTTCATTTCATGTGTTCAGGTGGCAATTTATAGTTCTGATTCACTTCATGAGTTTGTATGTATGTCTGTTAAGAAAGTAAACGAGAAACAAGGGACTATCCTTGTTTTTACCTATATGTTCTAATAAAAAAACACATTCGCCTCCCTTCTTAAAATCGAAATGCTAGGTCTGATCGAGGTGAAAAATGAATTGAAAAACTAAGAAATTTGGTTTAAAGAGAGATGAACAAGACTTCTTTAATCAAAGGTATGTGTTTATATTTGCAGCAAAAACCAAAGTGTAAATAGGGGAGTACTACTTGATTGTGATAATAAAGGTTGGTTCTTTTATACCTTCAAGGCTTTATCAAATGAAGTTTTTCCATATCGACAAACGTTCAATATTTTCAACAGTCTACAATACCTACCGGCATATGCAAACACAGTTTCAGTAAATGAAGAACATCCACTAATTTTGACCATAAATCTCTGTATAGATTGCTTCTTCCATGACTGGTGTTATCTAAAATCTAAAATTGGGGTTTATAAACTTCGTATTCTTGCATTAATGGGTAATACCATGTACCAATTTGAGCGTGCATGTGTATTTTTCTAAGGAAGAAGATGATCGATCAGGTGAAGAACAAAAATAAAAGGATAGAGATAGGGATGGGTCTTGTAGCAGGAGAGAGAGATATATATATATATAGAGAGAGAGATAGACAGAGAGAGAGAGGTGGGTCTTCTTTAATTTTTTAATTGTTAAAATAACTAAATAAATATTAAATGAAAGAAAAATGAAAAATAAATACCCCAAGGGTATTATAGTCATTTCAATTTTGGAGGGACTATTTTCACATATAAACTAGTCCAATACGACCACAAAGCCGACGAAACCCTAAAAAATTGCATATCACAGGGACTATTTTTGCAGTTTTGTCTTATATGTATGTGGTAGTGGTATTTTGGGAAGCTCACTAAGTTTTGTGCTTACAACTTTATGTTTATGATTTCAGGTACTTCTAGTTCGAAAGAGAATGAGACGACATGATCGCACCGTATGAACCAACATTTGGCATTTTATGACATGATTTGTCCTCTGATAATTATTTTATACATCATCACGTTCTAATAGGACTGAAATGAATGAATGATGTTTCTTTTGGCTTTTAAAATGAAATTTTCACTTAGTAATTTTTGGGACGTTGCAAGTCGGTATCAGAGCCTTGGTTTGAGGTGTTTGGGCACAATCTCGAGTGTTTTTGAACTCAAACTGAGGAATTGGTAATTTTTTTCATGAAAATGGATTTTTCATAAATATATTTTATAAAGAAAATGGTATGATGCGTGCAATCAGTCGAGCTCAAGTAAGTATTTTCCAAAATACGCATACATGTTTATATTTCCGTATATGCACATGTATATAGCATGCTAGATTAGGGCTAAGAATCTGCTCATAATTTTATAGTAAGATGCTTGGAGCGATGCCTTTGTATACCATTTGTATAAACCCTTAGAACTACATGCTAGAATGGATTTCAGATGATTAGATAGAGTGGCCGTTTGGTAGTGCTCTAGTTTAGAACTCAATACTTGAGTGTTGCTTGCTTTGTGTTTCTAGGGACTCCACTAGTGTCGACTAATTATTAAGTGAATATGTTAAACTACATTTTATGGAGATTAGATAATTCTCGAAGGTTGGATTCAAATCTATTGCGTAGCTCTAAATCCAACTGTTATAGAGGGGGGCCTAGCATTCGAAAATTATATAATGATAGTAACATGTAGTTGTAATCGTGAGATATTGGAAGGCACTGGATATGAGGCTCTTCAGCAGTTGGTGGCAAAAAGTGGGGGTAAAGAAACACTATGGAAGCTTAGGAAATGTTTTAGTGCGTAGGGCGCTCTTTATTACGAGTAGGGTAATTGATATTAGGGAAGTGACTAAGAGGATTTGAGACCGTCCATGGGAGTTAAGGATGTTTAATAAGAATTCGATCAAACCCAAAAATTAGGGTTTGCACCATGACCACTTACGCCCAGGGGTTACGCCCAGCGTATGCATGCCGCTTTCCAAAAATTACAAAATGCCACTAAGGGCTAAAATGCAGTTAATTCTCATATCAAGGGTTAAAAGTGGAAATATCTTAATATCAAGATGTGACAAAAATAACATGTTTTATTAATTTATATTTATTTTAAAAACAAAAAGAAAAGATGACATGGAAAATAGAGGGTGTTATAACAAACATTTTATTACATGTTGTTCGTTTCTTCTAATTGGTGTTATAACGAAGACATGACATGTGAGGTGACACTTTTTTGGTGCTTTAACATGTTATAACATATTGCTCATACATACCGGTCTTAAAGCAAACATTACAAACACAAGGTCTTTTAAATGTCAACTGTTGTTCTCAATGACTTAAATACATGTCAAAATAAGTAGTTTAAGTATGAGTACAAACACTAAAAAGTACATATTTACATAGATGTGAGTTAGGTACCGAAATAGGATCAAACTCGTACCGAATCCAAAGGTACCAAAACTGATTTGAGAAATTTATAGGAATGAAATACCAAACTGATTTAATTTCTCCAGAAAAAAAATTCTCATTAGTTAACTCACTGACTGTAATGATTGCTATCAAAATAGAGAAACCTTATGGAGATTTTGTCACTCATCTTCTAGACTAATCAATGTAATAATGTACTCTCTTTAATTACCTTTTATACTCCTATTAAATATCTTATAGGAAGAGAGGACTTCATAACGCTTTTGGTTGCCGCATCATATTTAATATGAAACAATGCTTAAATAGCTTACAAAAGAAACAATAAAGATTAAATTTAACCTACTAAGATAGCCACAAAAAAACTAGATTGCTTAGTAATTAAGAAGAATAGATTAAATTTAACCTACTAAGATAGCCACAAAACAGCTACATGCACATTTAAATTAAAAGAACTTAATAAACAGCTATAAGAAAGTTGAAAAAACATAAAACCAAAACAATTGTGATGGTTTTATCATAAGTAGCAAAAGTTTTAAAGTGTTACGACGTTGGAAAGAAAATTACCAGCAATTTAAATGGAGGTACTTATTTTTAAATGGTTTTATCATTGAACCGCTTATGCTTATGCGGTGAGGTTCGGGAAAATCGGTTCAAAGGCTCAACCCTATATTTATATGTATTTATGAGTGAAATATATATAAATACACATATATGTATTTATGAATACAAATTAAAGAAAATAAGATCTAAATACTAGCACCGGATTGTTTTGGATCACATAATTCCCATCATACAGTATTTGGGGAAAAAGTAGTAAGATATTTAGGTGCTGTTTGATTTTCTGAAGCAAAAATTCATGAAGTCTGCGGACCACCTCTGCAACCCTCTGCAGTAGAAGAGGTGGACCAAACGGCTGCAGACTATAATTAAAAGCGTGTTTGTTTTTTTAACAGCTGCATACTGCTGCAGATATTAAAAAATTAAAATAAACTAATTTTATAAACCGAAAATAGCTTTTTAATACGTAAAATTTAATAATGTATAACATTTCGGTAAAAATTAATGATATTTCAGTAAAAAAGAATGATATTTCAACAAAAAATAAAGATATTTTCAGTAAAAAATAATGATATTTCATCAAGAAATTATTATTATTGAATATAAAAAAAATGAAAAATAAATTCAATAAGAATAAATGAAAAAAAAAAGCGAAAAAAATATGAAATAAAATTTTATTAACATATAATCAAAATTTCAGCAATAAAATAAGAAGAAGAAGAGGTTGGAAGAGGTTGGAAGAGGCAGTACAAGTGTTGCGCCAAACAGAGCACGCGCAGAGGTTTTTGACTCAGAAGGCTTCTAAAACACAAACAGCTGCGAGATTAAAAGTGCTGCGCGTGTGCTGCGTCGCGCAGCAGTAAGAGGTTTGAAGAGGTTTTTTTCAAAAAACAAACAGCACCTTAATTTCTCGGGAAACAAAAATTCTCCATTAGTTAACTCTACTGACTGTATTGATCGCTATCAAAATAGAGAAACCTTGTGGAGATTTTGTCACTAATCTTCTAGACTAATCAATGTAAAAGTGTACTCTCTTTAATTACCTTTTATACTGCTATTAAATAGCTTATAGGAAGAGAGGACTTCATAACGCTTTTGGTTGCCGCATCTTATTTAATATGAAACAATGCTTAAATAGCTTACAAAAGAAACAATAAAGATTAAATTTAAGCTACTAAGATTGCCACAAAACAACTAAATTGCTTAATAATTAAGAAGAATAGATAAAATGACCTACAAAATACGTTTCAACCAGGTACCTCCACCCTACCTGTTGCACTCTTAATTTGACAGTTTCATTTAATACTTTCTTAGGCGATTAAAATATATCCATTTATAATGACACTCATTATTGATATCTTCACATCTGAGATAGCAGTCTGGCCATCACTCCACGGGACTGACATTTCGCCACCAAGGGTTTAGCTTTTGGTGCGATCAATCCTACTCCTGCGGTCATGTCAATCATCTCGTTACTCTGTCTTTCCCACTCGAAGCATTGAATAAGCGTAGCCATTGTCAACCCGATCATACGCATTCCCAAGTTTTCTCCCGGACACCTCCTCCTTCCAGTCCCAAATGGCATTAGCTTATAGGTATACCCATTTCCCGAACCTTTTAACCCTAGAAATCTTTCTGGCTTAAACTTTGTAGGGTCTTTCCAGTTCTTTGGATCATTTTGTATCGCCCACACGTTCATCAGTAGCATTGTACCACTTGGGATGTGGTAACCTCCCACCATACAATCCTTTGCAGACTCATGTAACAAGAGTGGAGCAGCAGGGTATATACGCATAGTCTCGTTTATTATACAACGTAGATATGGAAGGTTGGTTAAATCTGATTCGTTAACTAGACGATCTTCCCCAACACAATTGTCAATCTCAGTCTGCACTTTCTTTAGAGCTTCAGGATTGTTTAACAAAAGCGATAACATCCATTCCATTGTTACACTCGATGTATTGCTTCCTGCTGATATTAGTACCTATCACACAAGAAAATGATCAGCAAACTTAGCCATATTATATAACTAAAAAAAACCGAATGCTTGAATTTCAATTTCGAAGTTGAGTTAGTTATAATATTAACAAGAATTAAAACGATATTATCAGTCGACTATGATATAAAATTATTTTCTTTTGCTAAATTGCTAGTGTATTACTCGAAACAATAGTATTAAAATGTTTCCTCTCATCTTTATTGTGTTCCCAATACCATGTAAGGTATGTTTTAATTTTAATGAGTACCTGCAATAATCCCTTGATAACTTCATCGCTGTGATTTTCAGGTTCTTTTTGTTGCGACATTAGTAGAAATTCAATCAAATTTTTCTTCTCATTGGAGCTACCACCCTCCGCCTCCACCACGGTTTTTCTCCTCTGCTCTTCTATCAAATCTTGCATTAACGCATGCCACTTTTGATTTAACGCCACCATTTCCTTCTCTAAGTGTTTCCCTCCCACCCACTTCCACCATGGCAAATAGTCAGACACATGGGTCGCCCCCATCACAATAAACAACTCCTGGACAAGCTCCATAAACCGCCCAGCCTCTCCCCCTTCAACATCACACCTCCTCCCGGCAATCGTCATCATCACCACATTTAAGACCACCTCAAATAACACCGACTTCATCTCCATCATCCCGTCCCTTACTACTCTAGGGTACATGACATTCTTAACCAGGTGGTGCACCACTTCGGCACGAATGGCGCTAAGGGTTCGTACCTGGCAAGATGACAAAAGCTCATGGCTGACCACGCGGCGGTGGCTACGCCAGTTATCATTATGGCTTGACCAATTAATGGTGGTGTAGTCCAACCCAAGGTGTTTTCCGGCAAGCAGACGGGGACGGTTGGCGAAAGTAAGGTCGTTGGTGGTGAGGCATTCCTCCACTACTTCCGGAGACGAAACTAAGAAAACCCGGCGGGCGCCCAAGCGAAGCATGAGCATCGGACCATGGTGGGCGGAGAGTTTACCTAAGGCTCGGTAGAGCGGCCGGCTTCTCAGCAGGTAAAGATGACCCACGATAGGTAAACATGGGAAGGGGCTCGGTGGTAAATTTCTTATTTTCCCTTGGGCAACTTTCGTAATCCATATCACGAAAATGATTGAGAAAAATATATAAAATATTGGCTCCATATTTATTCAGGTTTTAATTTCTTGTATGAGTTTCATCCCAATGCTACCACATATATTTATAGTGAGATCATGGACAGGAAATGCTACCAGTCTACAACATAGATATAAACACGTGATTTACCTTGAAACTTCGTACCATGCATGTCTCAATATATCGACATCTAATCAATATATAACAGGTCCCCCATGTTGGGTGGACTTAAAAAAAAAAAAAACATTTAACTCAAATAAATCATGTTATTTCATTTGCAAATCAATCGAACTCAAGGGGACGCGCGGACTATCCTCATCGTAACAATGCAATGGGGTGAGCTGGCATCATAGGGAGGTAAAAGGACCACCACACCGTTGGTGCGAGGAGAACACCTCACTATCTCTTTTATTTACTTTCCCTTACCCTATAGTACTGGCGGCAAATTTTTTTTTTTTTTTTTTTTTTTTTAATTATAAACCATTTTACAGCTCACACCCTAAAATATGGTCGGAGGAACTCTTTTACTACTAGTTCAAGAACACTAACTAGCGCAAAGCGTCGAAACAACATTACCATATGTCTATGCCAAACGTAACCCGGAACATGTTCACCATCTTCAAGGCTTTCCCCTTTATTATCTACAAACCCAACCCCATCAAGGCCCAAAAGCCAATCCCTCACCAAGCCACAAACACAAACCGCCGCCGAGTCGGATGACGACTTCGTATAAGAAAATCAAACTGCCCGAATAAATCTTCAAGAACCAACCCATCCACGACAAAGGAAAAGGAAAGCATCAACCGAACCGTGGAATCCAAAGGAAGAATTTGTGTTAGGCAAAATCATGGTTCGACATATCCAAGGATGCGGAAACCAAAAATTCAAAATCAACAAATCATATTTGCCGCGTTATATAACTATTTTGCGCAGAAGTGGATCTTGGTGATTATCATACAAAACACCAAATTTTCAGGAGATGAAGAGTGTTCTCACAAAAATGATTGGATTGTACAAGTAAAAAGTCAAAGGAAAATCAAACAATGTGATGAATACATTCTCATCGAGACTTATAATTTATTTTATAAGGACACCGTCATTCAAATGGTGAAGCTTAGAAAGTATTATTCATGATCCTTAGATGGAAAAATATGCAAAACAAAGAAATCGAACTCGCTTCAGCAAAAAAAAAATGTCATCGATCACTAACACAATTTCCACTTATGTCCGTGTTAGCTTAGACTTAAACAACAATGTGGATCTCGAATTAGAAGAAATTGTTCTCTCGATTGGTAGAGACAAAGTGAAAAGGAAAATATCTTCTTCAAATGCATCGAGATTCCACTTAGCAGAAGGAATGCATAAAATGGAAACAATGAACAATGCAACTTAAATTTAAGTGAATTATTGGAATTAAAGAAAGACAAATTGCTCAAAAAAGAAAAAGCGCTTGAAGATAAGAAAAAGGCTCGCGAGGAAAAACAAAAGAGGTGTGACTAAAAAACGCATCAAGGTTATGAAGTTTTTGATACAAAACACTAACCACCTTTCAGGAGACGAACTCCAAATGGTATTCATGTTGAAGATGGACATTATGAAAAAAAATACTTCAGCTAATCTTGTTTTTGTATTATGTTTTACTTTCGTTTGTATTTTATTTTGTGTTATTTCTTAGTTTCTTATTTTATTTTAATTATGTACTTTATTTAAATAATGAAATATTTTCTTTTTTGTTTATTAAAAAATACTAATCTAATTTATTTATTAAATTATAGTATTTTAATTTTATTTGAAGAAATAAAGTGATGGGAATTTGAGCGTGAGAGGTAATTATTCTTTAGATTTTAAGGAGACAGAGTGTAGGAAAATTGATGGCACTTAGATGACAAATTAAAAATGAGAGGCGTTGTCGATACGGAAGTCGTGCAAGTCTTTTGCAAAAACTTGACAATCATATTATAATTTCTTACAACAATTAGAGTTGAAAAACTCACACAGATCGATAAGATAAACAACTATTTAAATATTTTAAAATTATAAACACGTCGTCCAATCGGATCTTTCACCGGATCAACTCGACCCTTATAACAAACTCTAACACCAAATGAAACACAAATATAAAGATTATAATGTAACATCCCAAACATCAAGGGTAAAATTTTTCATTTTTAATATATAGATTAAAACATCCATTTACATTGATCCGAACATTAAGGTATTCCAAATTAAAACAATTTTAGAGTAACTCCCAAAATCATAATTTGTGGAAAAATATCGGTGTGTGCGCTGTGATCAAATCGGACCTTCTCTTTCGAACCAAAAGTACCTAAAGTCAAAAACAACAAATTATAAGCACGAAGCTTAATGAGTTCCCCAGAATACCACATACCATACATTACCATGAACCAAACATATCAGACATATCCAATCAATCAATAAAAGTGTTATGTGCCAACCATAGTCTTGTCATTATGCCACGAGCCGTCTTGTAGTATTCCTTGCCAGGCCGGGTTCCATAATCCTGGGTCTTACAATGGGCATACCTTTAGTTACGCAGGATGTAACCGCTATTTCTCCAAAACTTAAATCATGACTTAAACCGTTAAGTCCTTCCATCAAAACCTCAGAAGTCCTTCCAACTAAGCTCTTAATACATAAAGTCGGCACCTTTATGCATTTGCATGACTCAATGGGACCCAACAACCAAATTAACCTATTAAGACCTAACATAATCAAAATAGAACATGCATGGACCATTTCTAAACATCAAGAAAACATTTTTATGGACTAACAACATCAGAAGAGGCAAGATCTATCACTCTAAGCTCCTGGAATGGCTCAAACTCACAAGGAGAGCTTAATACACCATAAAAACACTTAATCTTGCCCTAAACTCAAACTTTCACAATAAGAGATCAATATGAGAACTTTATACCTTGAATGATATGGAAATGAAACCAAAGTCTACATCTAAACATCCTCCCTTGAACCACAAGCTAGCACCAAGCACCCTGTTCATGGAAATTAGCAATAACACACTTAGATCTCTCAATCACTCAAAATTAGGTTAGGGTTTCCGAAATGAGGCTTAGAAGGCAATGGAGGCTGAGAATGAAAGAGCCTTGAGCTCATAAGGATACGTAAATAGTGCCCAAACCTTAAAAATTAGGGTTTTCACTCTGACCATTATGATGGGTGTACCCCCAGCTACGTTGGGCATACTTAGCCAGATACGCGTATTCCTTCCTCGCAGGCATGGGGTCGATTTGCCAACTAATTCCATTAGGGGCCAATTCTGCCAATATCTTCAAAATGTCATAACTTCCTCATCTTAGGTATGTTTCCAACGAACCTTATATCCACGGAAAGGTGGCGAGAAGCCCTACGCTTCTAACAACAAACCCAAGCCTTAAAACCTCCCAAACAAAACCCGAAATCCATAAAAGACCGAAATATCAAATTACGATTATACCCTTGACCTCCGAGAAACAATTGAATACTTGGATCACTTAGACCATAACACCCATATCTGAGAAGGGCCAACTTCTTCCTTTCCCAAGGCCCTAAGCCTCACGACCACTAAAGATTGGTTTGCAACCCTGAATAAAGAAGCAAATCTGAAACCGAGTGTTACATATAATATTTAAGTTTTTATGTAATTTTTAATTTTAATTTAATGCTCTTTTTAATTTTATGTTTTTACAAGTTTTTAATGTAGGTTTGTAATTTTAGTTTTAGTAATGTCATTTTTATTTGGTTTATTAATGAAAGTTTTATTTTAAATTAGAAAATGTTGTGTTTTTATAAAAGTAGCTAATTATAAATAAATAAAAATAAAGTTATAGAGATGATGTGGACTGATAGGTATTTCCTAATGTTTGTAAAAATATAGCGGAGATATAATGAAGCTAACGTGACACTAAGGTTTGTGGAGTATACCTAATATTCTTGTAATAATTATATTTTTTCCTCTTTATTTTTAGTTTTAATGTACACTAAATAAAAAAATATTAATTTGTATCATCTAAATCAATTATTTAAAAATACTTAATATCATATTATTATTAATTACTTTCTTACTTTTTATTTATTTTTTCTTGTATGATATATATATATATATATATATATATATATATATATATATATATATATATATATATATATATATATATATATATATATTTTAATTTTTTAGTATTTTGTTCGAATAGATTATTTAATATTATTTTCTTAATATTTTGTTTGTCCAGTCTATATTATTTAATGTTGTTGGATTACATTTTTTCCAATACACATGTATTATTTTACAGTCATAACGGAAATTATTCATCTACATTTTTCTTCACCTTTTATACGGCATAATTTGTCGGATCTAAAGTCATCCTTGAAATAATGCCTTTGAGGAATAATTATAAGGCTTCAGGAACCTTTCATTAAATGTTACTTTTACGTAATGGCAATGAATAACAATCCCAATTGCAATATAAGATTACTTTATCGGATGGGAATCCGGGTATTTGTTTGATATGTTATTGAATTGCTAGATCTGCATCCTGGTATTAGGATGATATTATGTTAAGTAACCTGGTTAAGGTCGGTATCCTGGTATACGGGGTAATCTTATGTTAGTGACCTAGTTAAGGTCGGTATCCTGGTACATTGGGTAATGTTATGTAAGTGACTGGTTAGGTCGGTATCCTGGTTAGGATGTTGTTATGCTATATGATCTGATTGAACCGTTTGTTTGGCTGTGGATTGTTATGTGATTAACTGTTTTATGTGCACATGGTTGTTTGACTGGGGTTGGGTTTAGGCGGGTCCTGCTTTGTGTTGTAGGCCAACATACCCAGGGCGGATCGGATAGACCGTAGGCCCAGCAAGCGGTTCAGATAGGCTAAAGGCCCAATAGGGCGGTCCAGACGTGCCGAGACTCGGAGAGTGGACCAGACCGACTGAAGGCCTGGTGCGGGCGGACCAGTCATACTGAAGACTCATAGGGTGGACCAAGTGGATTGAAGGCCCGGTGCAG